AAATAATATACACACAGTTAGTTTGTAAAACTAAAACCTTATTGCCATTTCCTTCCTTTTATTTCTCATGCTTTACTATTCTCTCTCTCTCTTTTTTTTTAAAGACAAAGTCTCACTTTTTTGCCCTCAGTAGAGTGCAGTGACATCACAGCTCACAGCAACCTCCAGCTCTTGGGCTCAGGTGATTCTCTTGCCTCAGTTTCCCGAGTAGTTGGGACTACAGGCGCCCGCCACAACACCTGGCTATAGAATATAAAGCCTTTTAAAGGGCAGGAGAGGGAACTGAAAGTAGATCGTAGCCATGAGGCAAAACAAAAGGGCCTTAGGGTGGCGCCTGTGGCTCAGAGGAGAAGGGCACCAGCTCTGTATACTGGAGGTGGCAGGTTCAAACCCAGCCCTGGCCAAAAACTGCAAAAAAAAAAAACAAAACAAAAAAACCCAAATGGGCCTTAAACAGAAAAATGTTCAGATGTTTTGACTAAGGCAGGGCCTAGCTCAGAACCCCAGGCAAAAGGAGGGGTCTCCTTGGGGCCACAGTGTCCCTCCCTCTAAGATGTCAGATTCACACACAGCTCCTTCCTGGAGCCCAGCGGGGGACCTGGACTCTGGAAAGCTAGAGTTCCCTTTGGTCAGGGCTCTGCATAAAGGCGCCTGAGTAGCTGAACAAGCCGTTCCTGAATCTGCGTCTGCACTTGGGGATGGCTGGCGCTGCTCTTGAACTCTCACCAGCAGGGGTGTGCAAAGTGAATACAACACAGGAGAAGCAGGACGTTGGACACACTGACAGTAGCAGAGAAGTGACAAATGACAGGGTGGGAAGATGGAAGAACTCTCACAGCACAGCTGTCCAAAGCCATTTAACATTGAGCTCACAGCCCCGCGGCCCTCAGACGCTCCAGAGGGCACAGCAGTATTATAGCATCGGACAATGATTGATGTCCAAAGTGAGTCGCCAGGAAAAGGTCAAGTTGTGTTCACTCTATTTAAAAAGCAGGGATGTGCAGTGCATTTTGGCAACGTTTATATCTCAATCATTAAAATTTTTCAAAACCTCTAATTTTCTGGAAAATTGACTCATTTTTCAACTATTGCCAGAAAAATAAAGCATTACCGTGCTGATGTAACTTTACTGTAGGGCACATGCATTTGGTTTAATAAGTGGTTGTTTTTATTGTTGTTTTAGTATTGATTCATAGAAGGAGAGCTATTTAAATGCCTCTGAAGTTCCATATGGGTCTTTTTATAGGTATTACTTCCATTGGACAATCCATATGGCAGAATAACTGGCACAGTCAAGAGGAAGTTGTCTTCAAGGCTGTGACACTGTGGCCACCAATAGGAGTCCACTCTCATCTGAGGAATTCTTGGAAGTCCTTTGTGATCCTGGAGATGACAGCATGTGCCCAGGCACATTTCAACCTAGTATACTGATTTTTAGGGGTCATTTTCCTGCTGTATAAAATCATCTATTTCTTCTACACCTAGCTCAGCAAAGCATTTTGTGGATTACCTTACTAGTGATTATAACATACTTTGTGGCTATAGTTTACTTAAAAAACAACACTAAACAGTATTAGAACAGTCATAAATCAAAATTTCTTTGGGGTTGTCTTGTGCCATCCTGTCTTAGAGAAGCTTTAGAATCAATTCATTCAGAAAATAATCATGGATTAATGAGGGCATCACATCAATTAATTTGTCACAATTTTAAGGAGCAAAATATCGTTTTCATCCTACGGTGCTTCTGGGTAATGCAGAAAATGTAATAAAATCATATTGAAAAATATCACCATTGTGACTTCAGTGGACTGAATACTTGAATTTTTTAAGAATACCATAACATATATAGCATTGATACTTTATTTCTACTTTGATCTTAATGTATTGATTTTGTGACTATAACTCTCAGCGAATATTTAGTACATATTAGGTATGAGTTATTTTCCTTTGAATAATATATACCTATGTGCACAGAGAGCCTCATGTAATAAATGCTGAGTCCACATACAAATGGATGAAAATACATATAGAAAGGAGCCGAGGGCAAGAAGGATTATTGGAGGATGAGATTATGAGTGATTTTTATTTTCCACCATTCATTTTCCCGAATGTTCCAAGTAGGAACATTTCTTACTTTTCTAATCAGAGAAATAAATATAACTGATGATTTAAAGATATCTGCAGGTTTGAGGGCTGATTATATAAAATACATACACAGATCAATTGACTAACACTGCCGTGTAGAGATACCATGCTTCATTGTAAATTACAATTTTAGAAACCCACGATGAAAATCTATCCGCATGGACATTCAAAGATAGCCCTCTCCCATTTTTACATTTCCATTTTTAAAAAATCTTCACTTTTTCGGACATGCGTACATATAAGCCCTTAGTATTCTTTGGTCATGCTGACTTATTCACCTTTGTAATACTGCTACTGAAGGTAGCATGATGTAGTGGTTTATTGCACAAACTCTTTTCAATCGTGGCTCTACCTCTCATGAGTTACAAGTTTCTTCCTGTGTAAAATGAAGTGAAAATCTACCTTGTAGGTCCTTTGAGTTTTTTTGTTTTGTTTTTGTTTGAGACTGAGTCTTAGTATGTTGCCCTCAGTAGAGTGCTGTGGCGTCATAGCTCACAGCAACCTCAAACTCTTGGGCTGAAGCGATTCTCTTGCTTTAGCCTCCCAAGTAGCTGGGACTAGAAGCACCTGCCACAATGCTTGGCTATTTTTTGTTGCAGTTGTTTAGCTGGCCAGGGCTGGGTTCAAACTCAGTACATGTGACTGGCACTGTAACCACTGCATTACGGGCACCAAGTCAGTCCTTTGAGTTTTAAATTGGTTTAGTGTTTCTAAAGTGCTATAGTCGAAATTTCCATGTAAGTGTATGTTAAATACACTTCTTTCCATTTGTTATTAGACTCGTGTAGGAAGTCATCATTGGCTTCCTTGGGTCAGGTGAGACGTGGGAGGTCTTGAGAGCAGAGAGCTCTGCAGGACATTGGAAGCCATGTACTCCAGAGCCTGCTTGGGAAGAATGATGAAATATTTGATAAAGAAAGTTTTATGCCACACTGAATACTGACATTACAGAATGTGCTTCTCCATCATGTAACTTGCATGGCCAAATGGCTGGTACATTTTATTCCTCTGCTAACTTGATAATTCTGTTCCAACAGGAAAGAGTCTAACATGACTTTCCCTTAAAACAACAACAAAAACCTTAATTAGGCCTTTCTTCTTTGATTTTCTCTTGTTCATGCAAGTTTTAGACACACTGTATTTGCTTCCGAGAAGAAACCTGCGTTGGAGCAGAATTCTTAGAAATGCATTTTGCTTCTCCTGAACCCTTAACACATTCGTGGCAATAGATTGGATGGTTATTGGATGTTATTAAATACATCCCAGGTGTGAGGCTGTATGCAGTCTGTGACATGTTCAAGGACCACATTCCCGTTTTGTGAAGGGTGTTTTCCTGTTAGAATCGTGAACTATGTGCTGACCAGCTTTGGGTTTCACCGGCTCCTTTCAGATCTGGCCGACAGGCAGGATCTGAACTGTATACACCTGTGAGGTGGTCTGTATGGAAACACTTCACCATTTTGCTATGAAGGCTGTAGGGATTCAGTTCCAATATTCTGGGAAGCAGAGCTGCCTTACAACACTCTCTTCACACTCCCCCTCCTCACCCCCATCCCATCTCAAGCACTTTCAGGGAGGATCAGGTGATTCCGAGCCCATGTGCTGCTGGGGGGCAGTTTCCATGGCATCCGATGGAGAAGGCTGTCATCTGGGGATTGCGGATTTGGCAGCCAAGATCCTGGCTAAGGTTTGTTCCATATCCTCTACATTTCACGATAACTTTCACAGCGACAGACTCAGAAAATACATCCTCTTCCCTTTCCTTTTTAGAGGCAGACTTGAGTTCAGACCAGGCCTTATTTTTAGAAACCGATTTATACTCCTTTTCTTTTCTCCCTTGATATAGCAAAAGTCCTTTGAGGCAGCGTTTTCCTTATTCGTCACTGAAACAGAATTTACCTTTTTGAAACACCTGCAGGTTTTAACGACAGACATTTGACGTTTTTTCTAACCCCTCAGCTTCGTCCAGAAAGAGCATCTTCTCTCTGGCAGACGCTGAGCAGTGTGGAGCTTGCCCTTTGTGGGTGCCTTTGTTAATTTCTGCCTTCTTACCTCTGCGTCTAAAGACAGGGATTTCAAACCTCCTAGCCAGACACGCCAGGTTCTTCCTGCTTCCAAATATTTGCAACTTAATCTCTTCGTATTTTTCACAGCCTTTGCCAGTGTTTCTCTAGAACTCAGCTGCCACTCATTCCTCCATCTGCCCCAGCTCCCTCTCAGACTCTTAACCATTTCTCAAGCCTAGTGAGACCCTTTGAGAATATAATGGCTCTGGACTGTCTTCCCCGAAAAATGTTCCTGCGTATCTCTACCGGTGCCTCAGCCTCTACTAAGGAAGTAGTTTACACCCTATCCCTAAAGTATAAAGGATTCTAATAGAAATTTACTACATGAGGAATGTATTCAACTGAACTTAGAAGAGAGGTATTTAGAAGAAGTGTATTTAGAATAAAAAGAAGGATCCCAGGTGTATTAGATTCCTGAAGCTGCTGTAACATAATACCATGAACTCGGTGGGGTAAAACAGCAGGTTTATTCCCTTCTAGTCCTGGAGGTCAGAAGTCCAAGTTCAAGGTACAGGCAGAGTTGTGCTCCTTCCACAGACTCCAGGGACATGCCAGTCTTGCCTCTCCCAGCTTCTCGTGCTTTTAGGGTCCCTTGGCTTGTGGTTGCATCACTCCAGTCTCTGCCTCTGTGGTCACATTGCCTCCTCCTCCTCTTCTGCCTGTCACATCTCCCCTATGTGACTCTCCCAAGGACACTTGTCATTTGCTTTAGGACCCACCTGAATACCCCAGGGGGCTCTTGTCATCCGAAGATCCTTAACGACAGATGCACAGACCTTTTTTCCCACACAAGGCCATATTTGCAGTTCCAGGAATGAGGATACAAAATGGTGGCTCCCTTTGTTTGGGGAGCCACCATTCAAACCACTACACCAAGTGAAGGGCCAGTGAGCTTCCTGAGGGCTTCTCTGTGATACGTGGACCTTTAGCTACATACAGGCTTCCGATCTGGGGGATCCCATCTCCCTTCCAGTTTCATCACTCATCACACAGCTGTTCATAAAAGGGTGAAGAACATGGACTTTGGAGCCAGACAAGGCAAAGGGTCAGCCTGGCCTCCACCAGGTCTAGCTGTGTGACCTTGACCAGGTTACACTCTCTAGACTTCCGTTCTCTCATGTATGAAATGGGAATGATGTTACCTCACAGAGTAACTGAGGATTAGCTGAGATGATGCATGAGTTAAAACGCTTTTGGTTGCAAGTAACTGAATACCCGGGAGGGTCTTATGGAAAGGACATCTTGTTTACGTAAGAAGTTTAGAGGGAGTGTACCCCAGGATTGAACTGCCAACCAGCAATAGCAGGAATGACTCAAGCTCATTCTGTCTTCTGCTCTGTCAGCCTCAGTGTGTAGTAATGTTTTCCTGCAGTCATGAAATAGAGTTAAAGCAGTGGTGTGTGGCCCAGATAGCTTTCGGGGCCAAAGCATTCAGTCCCTCAGATGCCACAAGTGTTGCCCTCTGATGGCTTTCGTTGAGGGCTCTACAGGAATTGCCTTTGTCTGAGGGAAGCAGTCACTCCCAAGTTTGCACAGCTGCCTGGGAGCAGCTCACACCCAGCATCTGGTTGATGCAGAAGATACAAAGTCCAGCTTCTTTGCCTGAAGTGGGACTATTCTGCAGGGGGACTCCAGCTCCAGAGCTCCTGGTTGGTTGAGGCCTCTAGTGCAATGGTTCAGCTTTCCTCCCTCACTCCTCATAGTAGGCCTGGTACTAGGAAGCTCCCCAGGGAACCTTCTGTGTGATATCTCCGGGTCTCACTGTATTTTTCTTCGGGAAGTGGACATGATACCAGGAAGGAGGCTATAAAATGGGATTCTGGAACTGGATCATCCATGGGCTAGTGGCAATGAGCTTTCATGAAGAGTTGACTAGTTTGCAACAGAGACTATTGCCGTTTGTGCATTGTTAAGTCTTTCCCCAGAGGTAAACTTAGATGAATGGAGAAAAGAAATACACTAGCAGGGGAAATATGAGGTCTGACAATTAAGTTTGCAAACTCATCCTAGAAAAAGTGCCACATACCTCGTTGCTAACCATCATTATGGCCACCTTCCAAGTACTCTCCTGGGGGAGCAAGGCACTAATGCCAGAACCTTTCAAAGCAATATTGGAACTCTTTTTTCTGGAATGTGCATCAGAACTGTTATCTTGTATAGCACACAAAAACAGCAAACAAAAATAATGAATAGCACTCAGCAAGACACCACCACAGAACAGGAACACAGCTGTGAAACTTTGATACCCCAAGGTTCTGAAACCTTACTGAGTTGTTTGTATAGTGCTGCCAATATAAGTGCAAGATTGTGAACTTAATTGTCAAGACTTGTACTACAACATCTCTGATGGATATTCCAGAAAAAGAGTTCCAAAATGGCTTTGAAGGGTGGATTAGGCACTGGCATTGGTGCACAGCTTCCCAAGGAGAGTACTTCAAAGTTGACTGTAGTGATGTTCAGCAATGAGTATGTAGCACTTTTTCTAGAATGAATCTGAAAACTTAATTGTCAGACCTTGATGTGCATAATATCATATTAATTGGACTGAATGAGCAAGAAGTGCACTTGTACTCTG